ATGAAAGCTAAATCAATTATTCAAATAGTACACTGTAGCATATGTTTTCTGTGATGTGAGATTGAAATTATAGATGTAATATTATATTGAATAATGTTGGTAAATGTGTTATACAGAGAATACCATGTAAAGTCTATGACTAACCTTTTAATTTATAAAACAAATTTGATGTTTGCATTTTCTGTCTTTCATTTTAATTTTTCAGATTTTTAGAGAAATAATTCTTAATTATTTGTCCACTGAATCTAATAGTAGCATATTTAGATACAATTTAGCCTATTTTATAGTATTTTACTAATTTTTGGATAATAATTGTTGACACTAATGGACTACTGGGGCTACAAGTCCTGATCCAAATAAATTTGCTTGAAAAGCAATAAATGTATAAAAGTATAATGAGGATAATGAAAACCAACCAGACAGACTGTCCATTCTTCATGAGATTCTGATATGTAATTAGTGACCTGTGTTTAATCCATCAACATCTGTCTTCATGACGAATTAAAGCAAGCACTATAATGCTGAAAATTGGGTATCGTTTGCAGCCAACCGAGTAATCATTTAGGCCAGACATATTAATTTTGTGAAGTGTTTCACTTTACTCCATTGATACAGAACATAATGAATAATGGTGACAGATCAGATTATAGTCAAATATTGTCTTCCTTCATGTCTGATTCATTTCAAAATAAATATACCACAATAACATTTCTCAGTATTGCTTTCATATAGTGCAGCGTATGTGGGTGTACTAATTTATTTTTGTGATTACTTGACTTTTCTCATTGTTATATAAGTACTAAATAGTTGATGTTTGTATGATATACATGTAGTGTGGTGACTGGGATATTTTTAGCTGGTGTTGATGCCTTGTTAGTCCCTGTTCAGATGCAGTGACTTATGGATTGACCTCTGTCCATGTGTCTATATCTTGCACATGCTTGGACCAAAATGGCCGACTGGCAGTCATCTTATTTAAATGAATGCATTCCATCTTGTATGCCTTGACCAATCAAGTTTTAACTTGACATATACGTCATACATTATCTTGTGTCTGTAATACAAATGAGGTTATATTGACAATACTTGATTGAACTTTTAATATGGTTCTATTATAAATGTAGATAATCGAGTAATATGTAATTTTAATTTAAATTCATGTTGATGTGGTATGGTTCAAAGTTGAAACTACTATAAAAGTATATGACTAAAATTAATACTATCTATTATTGTTTTCAGTGCTGGACCCAAAGGAGATAATATGTATGAATGGGTATCTACTATATTAGGGCCACCCGGATCAGTATATGAAGGAGGCGTCTTTTCCTGGATATA